TATTATTAAAGAGAATTGTATTTATGTATTCATTTATTTATTTTATTTTTTATCTTTTGCTTTATTTAACCCTTTGAAATATAATAGTGATGAATAGGGTCATGCAAACTAAAAATAAAACTAAGCTTTTAGTTAATGCTCATTTGTATTACACATTGATCAGAGCTGAATCTTTCAAATAATGTCAAAAAGTTCAATCATTTGATAATTATATCAGTAGTAAGTTATGGCATATTTCCTGACTGTCTGTGGGTTTTACGTTCATTCCAGTTTTCACCTGAAGGATTCGTTCAGCTTAGTAAAGCTTTACACACGTGATCAGGAGCGTGTGTCTTCATTCTCCTGTTATCCTGGTGTCTGCAGGTACTGTGCAGGGACCATGCCGTGGGGCAACACGGGCGACCACAGAGATTTCGAGCCTCAGAGGCACGACGACGGCTGCATCGAGGTGATCGGCTTCACCATGGCCTCGCTGGTGAGCGCTTCAGTTCTTTCTGTGAGACTGAGAATGACGTGGAAGGCTCATGACTTACATGCGCTTCCCGTCTTCACCTCAAGGCGGCGCTGCAGGTGGGCGGTCACGGCGAGCGGCTACCATGCCGTGGGGCAACACGGGCGACCACAGAGATTTCGAGCCTCAGAGGCACGACGACGGCTGCATCGAGGTGATCGGCTTCACCATGGCCTCACTGGTGAGCGCTTCAGCTCTTTCTGTGAGACTGAGAAGGAAATGTAGGGCTCATGACTCACATGCATCCCGTCTTCACCACAAGGCGGCGCTGCAGGTGGGCGGCCACGGCGAGCGGCTGCATCAGTGCAGAGAGGTGGTCCTCACCACCTTCAAGACGCTGCCGGTGCAGGTGGACGGAGAGCCGTGCCGCCTCGCGCCCTCCACCCTCCGCATATCTCTGAGGAACCAGGCCAACATGCTGCAGAAGAGCAAGAGACGCACGTCTGTGCCGCTGCTCAACGAGTGAGTCTCATTACAACGCATGTCACAGCTTCTTACACAAGTGCTTCAATCTTGCTTTTTCTGTTTGTTTCATTGATTCATTTTTGAGATTAGAAAAACACGTTTTTTTTGTTGTTTTACTACATGATATTTGGCAACCTGAACTAATCTCGTCCTGTCATTCCAAGGTCAAAATGTAATATATATATATATATATATATATATATATTTATAGTTATATTATTTATGTTTTTATGGTTTTCTTGTCACAAAAAAAGCTCCCCCAGTAGCTAACCACTTTTTGATTTAGCATAAATAAATAATATAAAAATGACAATATACAATAATAATATACTATGTAAATAAATAATAAGCAATAATAGATAAAAAGTTTGGGGTTGGTAAGATATTTTCTTATTTAACAAAAAAAAAGGCATTTAAAGGCATAAAAATATACAGTTTTGTAAAATATATTATTAAAGTTTCAAATAACTGTCTTCTATCTGAATATAATTTAAAATGTAATTCATTCCTTTGATCAAAGCTGAATTTTCAGCATCATTACTCCAGTCTTCAGTGTCACATGATCATTCAGAAATCATTCTAATATGCTGATTTACTGCTCAAGAAACATTTGTTATTGATATATTATTTATTTTGACTGTAATACTTTAAATATGTTTTCATTTTTTTATTTTTTATTTGTATTTTTAATTAAATCATTAATAATGCTTTTTAATGATTTTTATTTAATAAAAAAATGTTTTCAATAAAATAAAATATTAAAATAAATTGTATTATTATTATCATTATGTATTTATTTATTTTGTCTATACCAGCATTGTTGACTATATGGACTGCACAGGTGGAAAAATAATGCTAATCATTAACCAAATAGCTATTTAAGCACTTTGAATGCTTTTCTAAAATATTTCAGATAGTAAACACAATAAATTAATATTGGTTGATGTATTAAAGGTTACAGAAATAATAGTAAATGATGATTAATTTGAATATGCAACTATTCTTTTAAGGGTCAATCATGTTGACTTGAATAAGGATGACAGATTTGGTCTAAACAGACCAAATGGCCACAAAAAGCATTTTTATGCATTAATGACTTCAGTCCTTCCTGATCTTCACCTGTCCTTTTGTGAAGCTCATTTTCACTCTTCTTCACGAGCTCCTCATCGTCTGAGATTAATATTGTTTTCACGGTTATTCATTATGAATCAGTACGATCATGAAGTGTTTTCATGTAGTTCCTGTGAGCATTATCAGCAAGCAGAAGATAAAACTGAGAGCGTGCCTGTTCCACCTCCACCTTTGTTGATTAGGTGTTTCGTTAATGTGGCGTCAGTTCTCATTTGTCGTCGGTGTTGTTGTATCGCAGCCCTCATGCCGTCCCTGAGCGTCTGCGTCTGCGCGTGAACCGCATCGGCCTGCAGGAGTACGAGAGCATGCAGTTCGACAAGGAGCGTCTGCGTGACATCTGTAAGTCAATCAGAAACCTTCCCACAATGCAGTTCACATGTTGTTATACAGTGCTGCTGTAGGACAGGTGAGTATGATGTGACTGTGTGTGTGTGTGCTTGTTCAGCGACTCCTGTTGGCATCGTGGTGGTGAGAGGAGACTGTGACCTGGAAACCTGTCGACTGTACATTGACAGACTGCAGGAGGTGAGCGCTTCCCATGATGCTCCTGTCAGACTGATTTCATTGAGCACTCAATCAATACGATTACTGACACAACCGCTGGCACTTACGACTGAATTTTGTTTGTCATCCTGTAGTGTTTAATTATTTCAGGGTCAACATTTAACCTCAAATCTAACCACAGTTTTGTCGCCATCATGTTATAAATTCATGCACTCACACATTTGTGTCTGGTGTTGACAGGATTTGCATCAGGCGCCCTCTACTGGTCACAGAGTGCACTACCAGGTGAAGGCCTCGACAGCATTGGACAAAATTCAAAACACAAGATGCTGAATTGGAATTCATCGAATTGCAATTCAAAGAAATACAGAGAAGAGATTAATTCATTATTCATAAAAAATAATTATGCCTAAATATTCCCATATATAAGTTCAGTACTGTCAAAATAATTATTACCGGCATCAAAATATATGTTAAGAACCACAGCATGTTTAAATAAATAATAAAAATGAATATTCACATTACAATTTAAATCTATTCATTGTGTAATGATAACTTAATAAAATACATATTTAAAATATTCACACCAGTATTTCAATCTTTCAATTTTGTAATGATAACATAATAAATATAAAGATGTAAAATATTTACATCAGAATTTATATCTATTAATTGTGTAATAAATTACTTAATAAAATAATAAAAAATATTAAATATTTCCATTTGTTATAATAGCATAATAAATATAAAAATTGAACATATTCACATCAATTTGAAATATTAATTTTGTAATTATAACGTAATAAAAAAGTAAAATATTCACATCAGAAATGAAATCTTTTCATTTGTAATTATAACATAATACATATAAAAATGGAAATTATTCACATCAGAATTTTAAATATTAATTTTGTAATTATAACAATAATAAAAAAAAGAAAATATTCACATCAGAATTTAAATCTGGTGATTTTGTACCAACTAAAATTTTATTCACATTAAAATTTGAATCTAGTAATTATGTAATATTTTGAGTAAATTATAGCATAGTGTTAAATGAAGTAATCTTCAGCTGTGGTCAACTAAATCAAATATAGTGATTTATAAAGCAATTATACCCCAAAATTTGTGTGTTGTGTGTTTGGTGATTCATATTGAAAATAAAATGTATATGTATTCCATGAAAACAACACGTCAATTTCATTTTATTATAATTAATTTGTACTTTTTTTTTATTCAAATGCTGCGTCCAGTTTGGCACCTCAGTGGAGGAACTGAATTAGAATGGACAGTAAATGTGGTTCTGAATAGTTTTTGCTGTGTTTTGTCAGGATGAGAGCACAGGTCTGCCGCGGCCCAGTTCTGCACACAGACTTTCACCGAACTGGAGCTTCCTAGACTGTGAGTCACTTCATCTGTGCCTTCTCTGTGTCAGTAAATGCTTCCGAATAATTTAACCGCTGACATGTTTATTCCGTTTCCAGCTACATCAGCTGACCGCTTTTATCGCATAGACAAGGCTCAGGTATTATGACCATACAGTATGCCTTATAAAAAATGTAAACGCTAACAGGAAGCTGCATAATGTGCACTTGTGTGTACAAACAGGAGCACCTGCACTTTGTGACCGAAATATGCCAGGATGAGGTTTTCATCCTGGACCACGAGGCCCCAGCGGTGAGCAAGGTCCGGGTCCCAGGAATGCCAGACGTGGTGGTGGAGCCCAGTTCCGGGTGAGACTCTTGTTTCTGTTGACTCCTGACAGGTTTATACCTCGCTAATTGCATAACAAACAAAGCTGACCTTTTATTTTACTCTGGTTTCCTTATTACAGGGTTGCCCTGACCTCAGACGAACAAGGTAAAGTACAAACGCATATTTCTCTGAAGTGGTGGAGAGATAGGAAACAGGTCTGGACTGTTTAGAAATGGAGCAGGTTTTCTTTAGAGGTTGATGTTTTCTGTCAGAGGTCATGTGATTAACCAAAGTCATCTCCACCAGAAATTCCCACATGCATGTCATGCAGTTCTTAGGATACCTCATCGTTACTCAGTTTTGACAAAATCTCAACTGTTTTCCAGCTCTCCTGTCGGCTACTGTTAAAGGAGATGTAGAGGCGGTAAGAGTTTTTGCATCTCCTTGTTTTATGAGTTTGAAAGTGGAAGTGTTTTCGAGAAGTGACTTGCACAACTCGTTTGTTTTCTGATTGAAAGCACCAATGCATCGTCACTCATCCGGACTCATGGTCTGTCCCGTGTGTCACAGGTGTCGGGCTGCTGCGCCGCCGGGGTCGGTCTGCTGGTACGGGACTCTACGGGCTGCACCGCTCTGCACCTGGCCGCCCAACACGGCCACACGGAGATCGTGACTTTTATTCTGGAGCACGGTGAGTGAGAGACAAGCCCATAGACACGCACACTCCCGTGTTTGAGTACGCAACGTTCAAAGTTTGCTTGTCACATGCTCAGCTGGGATAGAAGGGAAATTTTTGTGGGTGAGTTACAATCCAATGTCTAACCAAAACCAAAAGCAGTTAAGAGTAAATAACTGTTTCTAAATATATAATGGCCCCAAAAGGTATTTTCGAATCAAATCACATCAAATCAAAGTAAACGTAAAATCCAAACAAACCAAATCAAATATAATTAAATCAAATCCAATTAAATCGGTCAAATAAAATCAATGTATTTTATATGATATGCATATATACAAAAATATTTTGTATAGAGTATTTCAGTTTTGTCAATATACAAAATGTCAATATACATTTTTTAATTTCTTAGATGTCCAAATACATTTTGGTGCATAAAATAAAATCAAAATTTATTTTTTATATGCATATATGTAAAAATGTATTTTTGTTTTTAAAGTTTAAATGCTTCTAAATGTCACATTGCATTTTTAATGTCTTAAATGTCCAAATACTTTAGAAATGAACTCTTTACATGTAAATAAATGTAATCATTGATTTTTGTATTATATAATTATTATATTATATAATTATTATTGTATTATATACTAAATATTTTTGTATAAAGTATTTTAAGTTTTTAAATGCCAAGTGACATTTTTTAAATGTCCAAATACTTGAGACATAAATTATTATTAAATTACATTTTTTTATTACTTATTACATTATTTACATATCTATTTATTTGATAAAATTAATTATTATATATAATTTAAAAATAAAATATATAATAAAATACTATTATGAATATTAATACTAATATCAATACTATTTTACAAAACTCTATACTATATCAAAGTTGAATCTCTTGTCACTCACATGCAGTATTTTGATATCAGAATTCTGTTTCTTTCAGGGTCAAAGTTGATGTTGGATTTAACTGACAGAGACACGTACGTAGCTGCGGTTTGATCTGTTTATTTGCGTGTTAATGGTGTAAACTGGCATTTCATTTGCCTTCATTTCCTTTTTTTCAGAGGCGATACCGCATTGCACAAAGCAGCGTCTCAGCAGCATGTGGAGGTGTGCAGACGTCTGCTGGAGGCCGGGGCTTCCCTCAGCAAAACTAACTTCCTAGTGAGAATCTGTTTGTGTTTCCTCTTTGTTTTGACACGTGGTGTGAGACTCGGCAGTCAGCTTGATGTCACATTGTCCTCCTCAGGGAAAAACCCCCAAGGATTGCGCCCTGGACGCCGGGAACGCGGAGTTGGCGTCTCTCATGGAGAGCCAGCCGGTGGAGGAGCCGGCGGTGCACGAGGACCTGGAGACGGCTGTATGAACGGGCTCAGCGATTAGAGTCGGGAAGATGTTTACTCACAGAAAGCGGCTGTCGGCACTCCTCCGAGCGTCCGCTCGCACTCGCAGAGAAAGAACGAGAGAGCGTGAGAGAAGACAGACGGAGAGAGAGGTGTATCGAGAGCGCCTCGGGTTGAGAGAGTCCTCGGGATCGCGTCTAGCTGTTGTTTTTCCACTGATGTCGCTGTGGGGTTTTAGCATTTATTTATTGCTCTTATTTATTATAACTATTTATTCAAAGATGGATTGGGTTTTGTTGCATCGCAGGTTAGTTTTAGAGACAAAAGATGTTTAAACTTGCCAGAGATGGAAGCTGTCATGCATCAATGTTGTGTGCCAAAGACACACAGAGAGGAAGAACATCAACTGAAGAGAGTTCGATTAAAGGAGGATCTTCTTCCAGAGAGTTTTTATGATTGGACAGAATCATCGCGGAGATTTTAAACTCAAACTACAGACTTTTCTCGTTTTGTTTGTGTGCCGTTACAGTGGAGTGATTGTGAAATTATCTTACGACGACGAGAAAAGATCTGAGCCATATTCAGTGCAATATGAATGGATGACATTTGTGCATTTATCTATTTAATATTACATTACATTAATGTTTCAAGACAAGCAAAGGAACCGGATTATTATTTTTTTTCCACTGATGGCAGCTGATTGGTTTCTGAAATGCCAAGGTGGTTGCGTTTGACCGAAGAATGACTAAACCAAATGAATGCCGGTGAGGTTTAAGTGTGGTATTTCGAACATATGCTTAGTCCATGTCACATCACTCATGCCGGGAAATGCCCAGCGATGTGTCTGCATGAAAAACGGATCACGCTGAGCCTTTGTGAGATCCATTTACATACGAGTGATCTGCTGTGTTGTCTTGTATCATTTTAAAGCATTATTGTGCATGGAAATTTTGTTACCTCTCTGGATGTGTCTACCCCTCTGTGATTATGTAATGAAATGGCATTATTTCTTCTTTTATTTTTAAATTTAAGTTATATGAAAAATATGAAATTGTTCGGTGGTTGTATTTTTATTTTTTTTAATCTTTTAAAAGACGGGACTACTTGAATGTTTTAGTTTTTTCTAATTTCTAAATATCTATTTTAGGTGTGTATGAGGTCAGTGAGTGAGTAGACTTGAGGGATATGTGGAGATGTGAGAAATATCACCTGGCACGATCTCTAAACTGGGAATGTTTCTCATTAAAGGGCAGTCGGATGGAAAGCACCAGTGTTGTGTGTTTTCTGGAGAGTCATAGATCACCCTAAAAGTATAGTTTGAGAAATAACATGCAGTTTTGCCATTCTTGACTCATAGTATGGACGTTTACTTGCTTTTTCTCTTTAAATGCAGTAATACAGCATGCAAACATAAAATGAACATTTGCACCTCTTTTACGGTTTACATTCTTATTTACAATTTCAAGGGATTGTTTAGTGTGTGTTAAAGTGATTTTTCACCCCAAAATTAAAGTTTGGTGATTTACTGATTTACTGACCCTCATGCTTTTCCAAAGTGAAACACGTGAGGAGCACAAAAATAAAACGTTTAGCATAATAATGTTCATAATGCCCATTCCATGCAATAAAAGCATAAGAATGTATTTAAAAGTAGTGACCTTTGTACTAACAGTACCTAACAGAAACGGCTCGTATAAATGGTTATAAAAACTGAAACAGAAGCGAAACAAGTAATAGGAAAGAGGAGAAATAAAAAGCGATACTTATTGTATACATGATACCTATAAATCATGTCATTTTGCCATTTCGGTGGTTTGAGCAGTTAATTTCAGATGAAAGTCAATGAATCAATGCGACGATTCTTACGAATGGGATTTCTGTTGAATCATTCTGAGTCACCGCGTGTAATGATGACATATTGATGACGTATAACTTTGGCTCCGCCCACAGCGCATAAATACTGTACTGAACTTTCGCTCTGCTCCGTGATAACATCAGACATTGAACACGGAGTCATGTAAGTGGGTCAACTTTCATTATATTTATTAACCAAGAGAAAATGTTAATAGTCACTGTCTCAGACTCTTGTATTTTGTTTCTTCAAGATAATCAGGAAAAGTTGGTTCACACTTCCGTGACTTCGGATAGACGTGTTTATATGTAGAAAAATATGTCGAGAATTTCCAAAACATCAAGTCATGCTTGTGAGTTGTGTCTAAACTTATGGAGATGTCTGAGACTGAAGAAAAAATGAAACAAACGTCTCAAGTTTCTAGTGAGCGTTGGTGAACATGCCCAGACACATTCACTCATCATTAACATGAGCCGCGACTTCATATACAATCAACTAATCTGTCACTTTCGTCAATAAACGTCCGGATTAAATCACTTCCTTGTAAAATTACGTCAAACTTAATTCTGTGAAAATAAACGTAAGTTCAAAGAATATTCAGGGTTAAATACGCTTAAACTAGAGACTTATATTGCTAGTGCATTAATGCATAAAATACTATCCGTAGGCTAGTTCAAATAAGCGTGACAAATTTAGAGTAATTTAATAATTATAAAATATTATTAATATAAGAAGAGGAATTTTAAAAGTTTGCAATGATGTATCCCTTATGCAAAACCACGGTTAATTTTTATTTTTTGATTGGTTTTATTTGTAGTGAAATAGTTAATTTTCATAAGGGATATCCACGTTTTAATAATGTTCATGCTGCACATTTCATGCCATGAAAGCATATAAAATGTAGTCCATGACTACTTCACTGTATATATCTAGTGTACAAAATCTAATAATGTTTCTAAAATTATGTTAAAATGAATCGGAATACTTCTTATTAGTTCAATTAAATTTAAAGTAAACCAGAACATAGTTAAACGAAGCTTAACAAATCTAGCACAGTTTAAATTAAACTTATTTATTGTTAAACTTTTTTTTTTTTTACACACACACACACACATATATAAAAGTTTAAATATTTATATATATAATATTTTCTAACATTCTTAAGATGTTAAAACATAAATAATAAAATATAATATAAATAAACTTTACAAATATTTATTGTGGTTTGATGAAGTGTATTTCATATCTGAGCAGGGATCAGCAGCACAGTAACGGTGATGTCCGGACGTCTGCGGCAGACAGTCTGGAGTTCAAACTCCTCATAGCATACACTCGTAAGAGACGACCCGCCGACACCCTCCTGCAGCAGGACGTCCCGTCTTCACCACAGCCGGCTGAAGATCACAGCAAACCAAAGAAAAATAAAAGAAACAAGAGACTGTCTTTCCTCTTAAAATGTATTAAACCACAGACAGATAAACCAGCACATGTACAGCAGCCAGCGACCCTAGCGGGTGAGTATGAAATATTATATTGATCTGAATGTGTGGCTGCTTTAAAGTATTTTTTTAAAACAGTCCCTATTGTGGAGATTCCAGCATCTGATTTGCTTCCTTCAGGTTCAGATGGTGGGAAAGTGGATGAGATGGAGAACATGGTCAGTGAACTGACAGAGATATCAGACTCTGTGCACTTCACTCCATCTGATATAGAACCAGACTCTGATGGTGAGTTTGAGCTCAGTCTTCTCTTTTGAGTTCTGACGTTTTAGTTGCTTCATTGAGAGAAGAGTGCAAACTGAACTTCACAGTGCTGTTCTCTCAGCAGATGTTGTGGAAAAGCTGGTTGAGCTCCTCAGAGAACATGGCGATAAACTGGACAAAAAGGTCAGTGAAATCAAATGAGCACTCATGATGCCATTTAAGATGAGATGTAAATCCTGACCACCAGGTGTCTCTGCAAACATAGTTACCTGCACTGTAATATTGTCCGTCGTGCTTATTTTACTATATGCTTTTCATTCCCTTTTTTGACAAGAATAACCAGCTGAATCCAAAAGTCTGAGACCACATTAAGAGAAAAAAATGTAAATGAAATTTGTAATGAACTGCACAATAGAACTCTTTTTTTTTAGTATTTGTAATAGACTTTACATTTGAATATGCATTGTATTTTATTCACTTTACACATTCGAACACTCATTATGTATAATTATTTGAACATTAATTTGATATAAAGTATATATATGTGTGTGTGTGTGTGTGTGTGTGTA